CTAATAAAAATTACACGATAAAAAAAATTTCCTGTAAGGTAGACGTACACCGTTAGAGTTAAAGTTCAGCGAAGAATTTCAGTAAATTTGTTAGCCAAGGAATGTAATTCGTGTCTTTAACTCCCCTCTTCTCTTTCGGTCGATCTGTCTCTCTCTCTCTCTCTCTCTCTCTCTCTCTCTCTCTCTCTCTCTCTTTATACATCTATTTATCTGTCTGTCAGTTTCTCGCTCTCGCCTATCCTCTTTATCTCTTGCCCGTGTAACACTTATATAAGATTTTGAGAATGTAATAGCGCTCAGATGTTTGTCTTGGCGTTAGCGTATTATAGCGGAGGTTGGACAGACGCGATCTTCAGGAAGAAAAAAAGCGGTGCGCACGAGCCTAGAGGTGAGAGGAAGGAGCAAAGCGAGAACGTAAAGCGTTAGTACGAGAACGAACGAGGAAGAGAAAAGGGGAGCGAGAGTCCGTGGGCACACAACTGCTGAATGTAAATTTCCGAGTCATCGCAGCTATGGTTATTCGCTCTTTGACGCGCTTTCTTTCTCAACTTTCGTACGTGTCACGAGTGCTGATATTGCGGAGACAAATCGTAGATTCGATAGTGACGGAAGCCTCCCACCACCCGTCGAACATCAAACTTATTTGCTTCTACTTCGCCTCACTTTCAGCACTTAAGTTTTACCTCGCGACTTTCTCAACAGTTGGCGCGCCCTCCTAAACTTCCAATCCCAAAGTGGTTAACGCAATCCTTATCGTTCGAGCAAATAAAACTCGAGGTTCTTAATTTTTTCTTTTCCTTTTGCAATTTTTTTCTCCCCCTCGTCTTACGTGGTCTCGCCTTTCCATCAGGATGTTGCGCAAATATATTTACCATTTATTTCTGCTTTTCTCATACGTTCGAAGTAGTCAAAGTAACCAAACATTAAAATTGAACGGAAAGAAGGAAGGTCTTCCGGGGCTGCCACTGGTGTACCCTATAGGAGGAACACTTAAGGTGAGTTCCAATACATTGATTCTATCCGATCAATATAAAATTCATTTATCATGTCTGAGAGAATATGGATACGGATAACTTTGAGCTAATTAATTCTAATTGAAAATTAAAAAGTCTTGTTAATCTAATTGATTCTGGCACAAAATTAAAAATATAATTCGATAATTTCATTCATCATAAAATACGTAGCGTCAATTACAGCGACATAACTTGTAAATTATTGTTAATTGAATATAGCCTTTTATCTGTTTAATCGAATAAAATTCTGTAAATTTATTCTTATTAAAATTAGTGGAAAAAAAAAGCCTACTATTGTTAGCAATTGTAGAGGGCAAAATATTATAAATAGTTTATTATTTGAAACTTGATATTCGCATTAAGAAGCGGAATTTCGCGAGATCATAAAATATGTCCGTATTGTGACAAATGAAACATCTATTGTACTCGTATATTCTTTTAAATTTATCGCAATGTATTATCGTCCTAACAATAATATTAAATTTGTATTAAAATCTGTGCTTATTCAATGAAATGGCTAAACGGCTAATTTTATAATTAAAAATTTTTATAGACAAAAATGAAATAAAATTCAATATTTAAAATTTGTTCAATTACTCATAGTGCGAATGGTATTATGTTTCTTAAATTATGAAGTATAATTCAAAATAATGTATGATTATTTAGAATTAATGGAGTGATATGTGGCGGAATAACTTACTATTATTCGGTTAATAGACGAATATTGTAGTGAAAATTCTTTAACAAGGCGTTGCCAAGTAACCGAAGGAGGAAAGTTTTCAAAATTCTCTGTTTTAGAAATTAAGCACTGTTGGAGCTGGAGTGTTTGAGCATCCTTCACTTTACCCTTTTTTCCCACCCCTTACCATCGTTATCACCGTCGCCACCATTTTTACATGTTGCGTGTGTCTGTGCTCCTCGGATGTCGGCCCGTACAAACGTAAATAAGCCTGAACGGAAAAAATTGGCAACATACCATTATACCGCTTAACAATATTTAAAATATGAATATTTTAGTTTTATACGGTTTCATAAGGGCACTCAGATTATATTCAATTGTTTTTTATTTATGTTTATTGATTATTATTATTATTTTTTTTTTTTAAATAAACTAAAACAAAAATTTTTCTTGTGGTTATAATCAAGTTATTATACTGTGTGTAATATTTAATACGAACCAGATTTTATTATTTTATATCGTAAATTCAAATTTAAATAGAAATCTATTGAGAAAATTAGCAAAAAAATTAATTATCGGCAATCAGATTGGTTAACAGCAGTGGCAATAAGTTATTCACGCGAGTCGAATCGAACAAATTAAATCGATGTCTCGTGAGACACAAGTAGAAACTAATTCTTTATGTCTTGAATAAAGGGCTTTTTCCATTTATATATATATATATATATATATATATATATATATACAAGGAATTATGTGGTATACCATTGTAATTAATTAAATAAATATATAAAATATATAATTATATACCTTATCTGAATTTTTACATTTCTTTATGCGTTTTTTTTACGGTATTCATCACATCTGCTTGGACATACCTTTCTACATATAGGGCATATTATATTAAAAAAAAAAAAAAAAAAAAAAAAAACAGAAGAAAATGAAAAAGAAAAAAAATGAAATTCAAAATTTCGATGTTGATGAAGAAAGTGGATATAAAGGGGGAGGAAATTGTATGAGAGGATAATAACATAGACTGGTTTTGGGAATGAATAAGGATGAAATATGAGGAGAAATCAAGCGTATATCAAGGTCATTTTGATGAAAGTTGCCGACGGAGCAAAAAATAGCCAAGAGGGAAATTCTTTGCCGCAGCTGTAATCTCGCTGTTTGTGGATTTTTTGTGATTCAATGCGACGTAAATTATTCGCAAATTCATATCGTTATCATGCGCATGTAGGCAAACGGCTGTCTATACAGCGATAACATTCCTTCGTTCTCGCGACTCACTCTAGCTGATTGTTTACGCCTGTCTCGGCCAATAAAATCCCATTGGCGTTATTTGTACGTTTTCTATTTTGTACATTTCCATGGCCCTCCTCCGCTCGTTCACCAATGACCGATGAATGAGTTACAAAAACATGGGCCAAGCTTGGAAAGTGAAATAATACGAGTTGTCGATTTGGCTTACATGAGAAGCTGCTCGCCGGATGCACCATACCAATCGCGATGCCGGGCAGGATCCTGATCCACAGCCAGAATATCCAGTTTCAGTTCGCTCTGCCGCAGAATGCGACGTTCTTCAGTAACTACTTCACGTCGAGGTCACTGCGCCGACGCCGGCAAAGTGATATCATCCCGGAGCGCTCGATCTTCTATCAATTTCTCGAGGAGGAGCTTCTGAGGTATGAATGGCAATTTTACGTGCGCGCTATTAAAACGAGTGTCAACGCGTTAAATCAGTAAGCAAAATTTCCGGCGAAGGCTTGTTTTTTCTGTCCTGGAACATCGTTGATTTAAGATGGGCACTGATGTTGCATGACTTGATGCATTTATCGATGGACTTTTGTTCCGGCGGATAATGCGATAAAAAGTCCCCAATTCCCAGGAATATGTGGAATGAATTTTCGCAAAGCCAAAGTCTGCACTGGTGCTATATTAAAATCATAACGCGATAGCACATAGGACTCTTGGGTTTTCTCACTTCCCCCCTGCCACTACCCCGCCCCTCACCACGCCATTCTCCTATAATGGAGAGTAAATGTTCTTTTTGGATTCAGGAGAGGTAACCCTGGGAAGGATTGCATCAAAAGGAGCATATGCGAGTCCGCGGAGACGCCGCTGAGGGATGACGGTCTCGTGGGCGAAATCTTTCACGTTCTGCTCACGTAAGTTCAATCGCATCCGAGCTATTCACTATTTTTCACTCTCATGCCCCTCCCACCTCCCTTTATCTCTTTATCTATTTATCTATCCTTCGGAAAAGCGAAATTTTACTTTAGATCTTTTACAAAGGTGTATTTCAAAAATTCCAACACTAGTAAATAAATATGTAAACCGCGGGCTGTATTATAATCGTCTTATAGTGAGCATTTATTCTTGAGATTTATTGGTTCTTTGTGCTTTTTCAGTTTACAAAATAAACGATGTATTTCACGGCACAAAACACTTTGTGTATATATTACACGATTAAAGATTTATTAGCAGCTTAAGATGAAAACAAATAATGTCGCAAATATATCTTACGAGTAGTTATAAATTTTGGCATTACAGACCGCATTATATACAGATGCATTGCAATATCCATTTGACAATTACAAAATTCACATTTCTCTATTTTATCGACGAATTCATTTAAATTTTAAATTATTGCCGTATAGTTTTATAATAATTTTTAACAATTGTTACTAAAGTAATTAACAATTAAATTCATAGTAGAGAAAAAAAGTCTCGGCACCATTGTCAATTAAAGAAAAATGAAAAAAGAAAACAAAAAACACCTATTATGATGATAAAATCATAGAATAGTCGGGTACAACTTCTTCGGATGTACTTCATTTAAAATACTACGTTTGACTTACAATTATACACAAAAGATAAAGAAAAGAAAATAAAAAGAAAGAAAGAAGATAAAAGCACCGAAAACTGTAAATACAATTAAAATTTTATATCACAATATAAATGATAAATCTGCCCTAAGCACAGTTCTAGTCAGTTAGAAAATTACTACTACGCTACTAGTGGCTGAGATTCGAAGTGTGGGAAATTTCTCTTTATTATTTTATTTACTTTTATCGTCTCACATTTTATGGTTGGCTATATAACAAGAGAAAGGACGAAATAAAGCATTTGCCTTGGTTTTATTACAGACCGGACTACGGAGGATTGCTCGGTGTCGACGAGGAATATGGAAAAGCTGCTGAAATCGGAAGAAGGGGCGATGACTGTTTAAAGACGTATCCTTCTTGCCCAGAAGGATTTGGAATACTGGATCGTATTTCCAAGATCTTCGATCACGATTAACGACCTTTGTTACTTCTTAAACATCAATCATTTTAAGTTCGCACTTACCCTTTATGGATTACACGTGTATATGTTTTGTAACATGATAATTTTTTGAAAATATAATGTTTTCCAATAATTCGTATAATAACGTAGAGAAGAATAAAGAGCTTCAAGTGTCAAATTTTGGTAGGTACTTAAACTTTTTAATTAATACGAAATTGTTGAACTTAACTTTGCTTAATGTATGTAGAAAAAAATTAACAGAATATCATTATCATATACGGCGATGTAATACTATAATATATTTAATACTAAATATTAAAGCAAATTTATGAAAATTATACGAAATAACGCGCGCGCGTGTTTGTGTGTGTGTGTGTGTGTGTGTATAATTAGATTTTTAATGTATGTACGCAATAGCCGAGGATTGTTAATTATTAAAGAAATTATCCAAGTTCACTGATGACTTGTGTCGTATGCGAAGGTGTTAATACGTCCAATTTCAAATGCCTCTCGTCCATTGTTTTCCTTCTGTCTTTATTTCTTCTTCTGTTGCTCTTTCTCATCCCCGTGTCACGATTCGAAGAAATACTTGCTGCACATGGTAAAACCGTAACACGAACGAACTTGTTAGTAACAAGATCTCACTAATGACTGAGTATACGGCACGTGGTTAAAGGCACGTCAGCGACTCATCGAATAGTAAAAGAAAAAGAGGCAAAAATGTGTTGAGTGTTAAACAAGAGACATTAACATTGACTTCAATAAGACTAGAGTTCGGATGTATTTTTTTTCTTTTTTTTTTTTGTACCACCACGTTATTCGACTTTTGAATTTTTTTCAGCCGCTTCGAGTCGTAAAATCAGATCTTTTAGCTTCAATTTCATTGCAATTCATTGTAGCTTAAAACTCAACAAAGGTTCAAGAATTGGTTAGCCAATTTGTCATAGTAGTTGTTACTTATAAAAATATAGCGAGAGAGAGAGAGTGAACAGAAGCGGCAGCAATTTGCTCATCTGCCTTCGGGGATGCGATACTGTTCCGCGCTGTAACGAGGCTGTAAAGTTCAGACTTTGAAACCCTGCTCACGGCAGTAAATAAAGACAGAAATACATAGATAGACAGGGAGAGAAAGAGAGAGAGAGAGAGAGAGAGAGAGAGAGAGAGAGAGAGAACGAGAATGAGAGTAAGATGAAAAGAGCGTGAGAGTTGGAGGGGTAGAGGAATAGAGCTGTCGAAGCCGTAAAATTCGTCCAAGCCGCGAGGATATAAAATCCGTCGCGAGAAAGACGCCGGGTGGAGTAAGTCAGTTTCAAGCGCCCGCGCAGGAACAAAACGGCCAGCCAAATAAAAGGGATAACAAGGAGCAGAAAAGAGGAGGGATTATCATAGAGAATAGAAAAAAAGGCTAAAGAAGGAAAAGAAAAGGTAGGACGAAGAGGATATTCACTCTACACATGCGTTTGAAATCGCCGCTGGAGGCCCCAGCATAGGATCGTGGGTAAATCTTGGCATTCATTGTTCCATCGCGTGTTCTTAAACAACTTCTTTATGTCTCATGTATCACAGAAAATGAACTGAGGAAACGGCAGTCAAAGAAACACCCACTGTTTTATGCTGCTTTACGTCGTATCTCGATTACGGTTACGCTTGCTTTTTTTTTTTTATTCTTTTTATGTCTCTTGTCCATCTCTGTTTACGCCCGGTTTCTCTCCTGGTCAATATTTCGCTTATCCTTCTTTCACAATTTCTTCCTATAATAGAAATTCTCCCCATTATAGCTTTTATTCGCTCTATTCGCAAATTAATTTATGACTCAGCATTATACGATAACTACTCTATATTACACCGTCGTTTTATTAATATTTTTATCAACGCTATAATGGTAACTGAATTAATTTGTTGAACAAACATTGTCCATAAAAGAGGCCTAAAATAAAATTCTTATAAAACAGTGACGTATTAAAAAATCTAATGCAATTCTTTTAACGTATATTGCAATTTTTGAGTAGAAAAATTCTTATTTACCCGAAAAGGTATTGGAAAATTTAAGAGGATAAACTTTGCTATTTGCGAATACTGGATTGAACTGGAGTTTAAAAAAAAGAAAAAAGAAAAAAAATGAATTTTATTATAACGAAAAAGAAAAGAGAGAGAGAGAGAGAGAGAGAGAGAGAGAGGGAAAGAAAAAATGCTCGGATTGAAAAAGTTTGTGGGAGCGCGTTGGTATGTCGGGTGATGTATGGGTGACAGGGGAAGGGGATAAGTAGGGAATGAAGAGCGAATGAAAGACGAATGAAAATTAATTGGCTAACCAATGCGCAGCAGCAATCTAACTGTGGCTAACAACTCGTTAACTACATTTTATAGTATGAATCATGTTATACGAAGCGGTTAAGAGCAGCAGCGACAACTATATTATGAGCCCCCTTCGTTCAACCGAATCTCTGCTCTAGCCCGAGTCGTTGTTAACTAGTAACAGGAAGCGCATAAACATTTTCTAGAAAATTCGAATCTCCTTATAGCCGTGCCCGTCATATGGGCGACTTTTACGAGAAGTACCCAGACGTACTAATTGGTTAGTAACAGGTTTTTTCGAGGGCCACTTTTTAAATAAAGCCCACGTCGTTCGATCTACGCACACGTATTTGCGTGACTGGGTTTTACGAGGGAGCGGCTTTAGAGCCGGTGGCATCAGCATCAGCAGGCAGCATCAGCAGCAGTAGCAGCAGTAACGGCAGCTGTTGCTGGCATGACGGATGAACAAGCTGAGTCCAGTTCTACAGGATGTTGCCGGACTCAAGAGGCCTTATTCTACTTCTGTCGCTGTTTACAATCCTGGAACGGAGCGCCGAAATCGTAGTCGCTGCAAGATACAAGAGACACGTCTCCTTTCGCAAGGGTAGCACCTTCTTCGTAAGTAATACAGCCTCAATCTATATTATTCACTCGTCCTGGCGTCCTTTTTCCTGCACGCTACATGCGCCCAAATCTTACTACGAGGTCTTTCTCATTTTAGACCGTTACTCACTTACGTTCGCGGCGCTGTCGACTCAGCCAGTTTTATAATGAAATTTCTTTGGCATTTTTACGCGCGGGTGACTTTCGTGCCAGCAAGAAGCACTAGCCGTCTTGGCTTTACCTACTATTTCTTTCAATTGCCTCGATAAAACTGATTCACCGAAAATTCTCGTCCCAAGGTCGCGCGTATTCAATTAAAAATCACCCGCTAAAGTTATATTTACCGATTAAAAGTACCGAAGGACAGATTGGATGCGCGTAGAGTGCGTGTACCGCATCGATCCTTTACTTTCGCGCTGCGACGCTGATCCATGGATGGTGGTGAGGGGAGGGGAGGGGAGGGGATGTAAGCACAGCTTTCTTGTAAAGCAATCGTCGCGTATTTACTCTCTGTACGGGCGAGGCGTTTAAGAAAAAAGAGAAGTCGAGGGGAATGACTGTTTGACAAATGGCTTGCCAGATCCAGTCGAGCTTCGAGCTGCCACGGCGACACCCCCCATTCAACATTTACCGTGAATACGCCCGAGGAAGGGACATGCGTGGTGCGAGCTTGGCCGTGGGTTGGTGAGGGGCACAGGCGCGAAAGGTGTACAGATTTACATCAAGCGGATCGCGTAGCAGCGAGAGAGGCCGAGTACCGAACAAGGGCCTTTTACCAATACCAATCTCAATTCAGTGCCCAATTCGGCACCTGCTCCGCTGTTTTATTCAGCAACTACTTCAAATGGAAAATACGATTTTTCTCAGCTATTCGACTGTCACTCAAATTCTTCCCTCTCCCTCGAGCGGCCCTTGCGCTGCAAATTCTTTTCTATTTTTCCTTTTTTTTTTTTCCATTTTTTTTTTTTTTTTTTTTTTACGTAATGTCGGGAACAGGATAAGGGCGATGAAGACTTTTTGTAAACACGTGTGTGTGTGTGAGAGAGAGAGAGAGAGAGAGAGTTAAGCGAGAGATTTTCGTGTATTTCGATAGTATCGGCTCAACTACAAAGTGAATAGCTTACCTCACACGACGATCTTCGCTCAAGCGAGTGGCTTCAAAGTTGCTTGGCAACTCCCGACAGGTCAGCAATCCGGAAAAGCCAGGCAGGTGTCACTTGACGATCTCCATGAAGGCGCGAGTCTCGTGTATGAGAGGTAATGAATAGCACGATAATCAATAACACTGCTCCATGCATTTGGTGCACTGGATTACGCTATTATTAGTCAATAAAGTAATGCGGATGCAATAATAAAACCCTATCGGACGTTTCATATTTCTAGTGCAGTCGGTGCAATGGATTTAACTCAAAAATATTCATTTCAGCTCCGTGAAACAACGGCTCGAAAAAGCGTTTTAGTGCAATAATTCTGTATAATTTCATCGAACCAAAATTTCTCTCCGTTCTCCCGTGCATTTGTTGCTTCACACGCATGTACCATTTCTTCTCCTTTTTTTTGTTTTTGTTTTTTGTGTCTATTTTGTTATGTTTTTTTTTTTTTTTTTTTTTTTTTTTTTTTTTTTTTTTTTTTTTTGTATTTGTTCTCATTGATATTCTCTGTCCCATTTTATCACGTGCTTATTTATAAGAGAAAATTCTTTAAACTTTGCATTTTAAAATATATATATTGTCTTGAAAAATGTAAATTTTTATACAAGTTTTATATTAGTTTTTTCAATATCCTATTAAGTACCCGAGCAATAATAAAATTGTTAGCTTAGTAAATATTCTGTGGTATGATTTTTTAGAGAAACAATTTTTTAAAATAGAAAACTATTTAAATTTGTAAAGCTTTTGAAATTTTCTATAAATACGGACATGGTTTCATTTCTTTTTTATTTGTTTTTTGTTTTTGTTTATTGTTATATGAGATTTCAGTTGATTTATTATACGCGCACTTTGATACAAGGTAAAATTTGTAGATTAATTATATTTCTTTATATTATTATTTCCTACAAATTTTACTTCTAAGATTGTAGTAAATTGAATGAATTTGAAATAATTGAGAAAAAAGAAAACTGAATAATATTAAATTATCCGATGCTTTTAGATAGATTTATTGATACATATATATATATATATTTTTACAGTCATGGATTCAACGGTAAAATGTGTCTTTTGAAGAGTCTCTGCCAGGCTACGGAGTACATAAAAGAGAGAGACGGAGTACTAATGAAAATACTCAATTTACTATCTGGGTAAGCTGTAAAAATATAGAATTAAAATGCAGTTCTAAAGCTATGAGATTAAATGACTTTGAGGCAGCTGATGCGCAAATTTATTCGAAAATTATCCTCCAAGTAAAATATGAATTATTGATATTAATCTGCAAGCAAATGCTTGTAAACGCTAAGATGTAAATACAGAAATTCATTCTAACATTGAGTTATACTACTCGTTACGTATATAATGATTTATCAAAGTTCCTTGGATTCAATTGGTTTATACAGCTGAAAGCTGTTATAATTGAGCTCACTTGGTTGTTTAACAGTGCGGAATAAAGTATTAATTGGATTGATTTTAGGTCGTACGGTGGCAACGGTACGTCAATTCTAGATCCACTAGTATGCAGAAATTACGCCAATCATTGCCCGCTGCATTTGATTAGGTTCAATGCATTTACGGAGCATTGAAAAGCCTCGAGTATGACTTCTGGCGATAATAATCATCGATCGGTACTTAGCTGTCAACGATGGACATAAGAACGCTTGTTCAGTAATCCCGAAAAACATCTTGTCGCTCAACGTCAGTGTCCAATGGCCTCCTCGACAAGTGCTTCGAGCTTCCGTCAAAATGAAAATACCAAACAATAGTTAATGCTAAACGTTTAAATGTCCTGTATCGTTAGATGTTTAAATAAACTATTCCATTTAAGTGTTTTTATTCAATTACACTCGTTTTCTTGTTTCAACATAAAAGCGATAAATTTACCTGTGCAACGAGGTATGTGAAGACTGCTTTTTCTAGAATGAATGCATACAATGCTATCCGACTCTTTGGAGGAAATTATTTCTGCTCGCTCATGCGCTCACCTCCTCCTCTCCTCCTCCCCCCCCCGCCAACCAATCCACCGCCAGAGCCATAGCCCCCCCCCCCCCCCCCCCCCCCCCCCCCCGCCAACCAATCCACCGCCAGAGCCATAGCCCCAGTATAAGCCCCTTCTCTCGCTCTTATACATTTTAGAGAGATAGATAGTTTATAATTGCTTCACCCATCTGACTATTTCACTGCATTCTCTCGAATGACGTTACAAGTATCTTCGAACGAGATGCGCTAATCTTTTCGTTTATAATCAATGAGTTTCTAATTTTTGTTTTTAAAACAATGCACGCGACACTTTTCACTTAGCGCACAACTTTGTCCCGTGAGACATTAATAAAGCATTATTGAATGTTCGTAAATACGTGGGCCATTTTCGAAAATTTGTTAAATACCGTTAATGCCTCTTTTCCATCGAGATTAGTTGAATGAAATTTCTCATGCTGCATGCGAGATTCCATTTCTAAAGGAATCTCGATTACAATATGTCACATTACGATACTCACGAGCGTTATAACCGATGAATACAAAAGCGGCAAACAGATGCTCTCTCTCCAATAGAGACAGATGCGATTCCTATTAGCTTGTAAAATCCTTGTAAAATCCGCGGTAGGTGAATTTTAGGCTTATAATGTAGTATGCCGAAGGTTCGCAGCGAGCAAATCTTTATAGGGTGTGTCGTGAATTTCAGTTACAACTCTCACGATTCGCACTTGTCTGCGAAACCTTATTTGTTGAGCGAGTTATGTACTATGCTTGGAAAAATACATTCTCACCAGTTAGCCAATTCGTACGTTTTTAGCGTACGTTTCTCTCTCTTTTTAACTCTCGCACTACTACGCGAGTCCTGTCGTTTTTTCCTTCCATCGGTCACGGGCGCGCGAAGCGTCCACTGGAGGTCGACAGAAGCGCGATTCTTTTTGAAATGATCATTATCGAGAAGGAGTATGGAGCGTTTCTATCTTCTCATGTGCGTCTTGCCGTGTCTGCAAATCTGCCAAGTGGCCTCGGCAGAGAAGTATCAGCATGACCTCGTCAGGAGGAAGAGATACCTGATATTCCCTCAGGGTAGCAACGTTCAGGTAACGATCGTCGGCACTATTATTTGGTGCTTTTACCAACCTGTCGATGCGAGTGTGAACGTTTTCAGTTGGTTTACTGCCTCACGATCGGAGCTTATGCCCGCGACGGAGATTTAGTATTAGGGCTGACGGCGGCTCTCGCCTGGGAATTACCGAGTACGATCGACTCGAAATTGACGGGACAACTCCATCGGCGTACCAGAGCTGTCATCTATCCGAAAATTGAAGCTTTTTTACAATCGTAAGCATTAAAAGCCGCACGAGCTATCATCTATTTTCCCATTCGCGTTTCCTTGAATTTTCATTTGTCGTTAAAAAGTATAAATTTTCCGACAACTGCTCATACATTATCAGAAGCGAATGATAAATCTATTTGCAAGGATTGTTACATACTAATAATGCCTTCGACGACATCTAATGGTATGAATGAATGAGCTAATCGATTGATAATATTAGTTTTGCTTAAATTGCTCGCCGAGTACGCTACTATAAGAGGAAATTGCGCACAATCATAAATGTAAATACAAATAATTTGTATAAAATAGGCAGTATACGGAAATACGAAAATACGAAAATAAATAATATAGTAATGATCTAAATCGAATAAGAATTGCGCATAAAATAATTATTTAGCTTGTGTAAATTTAGGCGTATAACCAGAAAGTTTATTAATGGATAAGATAGAATAGAAATCAGGGATTTGAGCCAAAGTTTCTTGAAACGTGTTTGCAGCCACTTTAAAATGGAAGTAGTTCAAATGACATTTACTCTTCAACTACGTTTTCTCGATTTTATTCCATTTTATATCTCCGTGCTCATTCTCTCTCTCTCTCTCTCTCTCTCTCTCTCTCTCTCTCTCTCTCTCTGTGTGTGTTAGGATGTGTACAATGTTTCAATTAAACTTTACACTTGATAGAGTTCGTATAGAGTACTTAATTTAAAGTTTATTCGCAGAACTGGTCTTGATGGGAGGTCCTGTGTGATGAGAGCTCTTTGTGAGGCTGGGCAAAGGAGTACATCGGAAATTGGAAGTGGCACCTTCGTGCAAGAACTTCTTCATGCTGTTTTCACGTAAATCCTTGACTTAACAAAATATGATAATCGTTTTGGCTTCGCTGGTGCTTTAATTTCATAATATTTGGCTTTCAAATGCATTATGAAATTTAACTTTTTTCCATATTCCATTTTAGCTTCTTGCATAATTATTCATATAGAAATAATTTCATATAGGAGTGCATAAATGTGAAAGAGATCCATTAGACTATAAAATCGTCATTGCTTATCATTACTATAATAGCACAGATTATAATTAAATATCTTTGAAATTTCGTACGTACAATGTTTATACAATTTTAAAGAATACATCATACGTGTAATAATGAAATGATTAAGTCTCCGTTTGCATTTTCAAATTTATATTAAAATACAGCGGTAGCTGAATTTTAATTTTTTGCTCGTATTTAACAAAATGAGAAAAGAAGCTTATGCTGCTATTCCCAACATTTTATATATAATATAATTCGCCTACATGGTTTATTTTCTATGAACGCAATTATTTTTAATCATATTTACGTATGCTTTTAATTCTACATAATTCATTAAATTTGCTCTAACAATGCTTTACGTGTCAATTAGTTTAAATGGAGTGATAATTAAATGATGGTACAAAATTTCAGAATTCGAAGTGATGGGACAATTTTTGATAATGAAGATAATCAACAGTACGATTACGCATATAGATTAAATGGAAACTGTGCCGCACTATATCCCACTTGTAAACATTCAATTTATGATCTAAACTTTTAATCTGAAATCTGAAAGAAAACCTAAGGATTGAGATTGTTTAAAAAAGGGAATTCTTGCTGCTTGCCAATGATATTTGAAAATTTGTTTTAATGCGCACAATTTATGTAATAATGTAAAATAATGAGCCTAAGGATGTATTAATATTAAGTGATGCAATAAAATAATTATAAACATCAATTATATGTGTATATTATTCATCATTCAAGGTATGTAATTAAGAAATGTAAGCTAAATTAGAGATTAACCGAGAGCATTGAAGTAATTATTTGAATTTTCTATCGATATCGTGTACTGCTAAAGTCAACAATTGAGTTATACTTATGAAAATGAAATAAAATTTCAATTGAATTAATTTTATACGCGAGCATAAAATTTTAAGCTTAATTGAATAATGAAGTATAAACGCTATATATGTATATTGTTTTTTTTTTTCTTCTTCTTCTTCTCTATTTGTAAATCAGTGCAAATTGTATTAAGCGTTGAAGAAGAGAATGTAACCTGTAGTGAAAGAGAGCGAATATTCGTTTAAACAAAAACAAAACAAAAAAAAATGAAATGAACATGACTCTCTCAAAGCAAAACCATTTAACGCGAAGATGGTGCGAAAAAGCGATGGTGCCGTGGTTACGTTCTTAGCTGTCTGCAATAAGTCGTTCATCTCCGCAATCATCTTAAACACCAATCGGCTCTTGTAACGCTGATACCTTCGTGCGCGCCCGTATAAAGATACAAAGTAGAAGAAGAGAAAAATATGAGACGTAAAAGATGTACCAAGTCGTTTGTCTTATTTCTCCTTCTGACTCGTTTAAGTCCAAGCTCGTTGGAGTTAAGTAATATGAGTCTGTCGAGATCCAGCAGAGCGATTGATGGACAATACAAGTATCTCATATTTCCGCAAGGCAGCAATGTTCAGGTCAGTGATAATTTTTCATCGGTCCGCCGATTTTGTTTTATTTTCTGCGTCTCCTCCCTCCTCACCTTTCAAATCGTCGCATTTTTCATCCGTTGATAGCTGCATCGCATAATTTATGATACAATTTTACGTATCTATTATCATTTAGGTGATATATCACGGTAAAACTTCTAATTGATAAATTCTTAATATTACGTTAATTTAGTAGTGTTTTATTAGTTTTGTACGTGAATTACTTTAATGATATGCCGAATCCATTTAATTTTTACCAACTGCTGATGATTAGAAAATTATTAAATCTAAAATTTCTAATCATTCTAAAGTGTCGACTTTAAGAATCGCTATGTGTTTCGCGGTATTACAGGGCATTAGAATTTAATTGGGAACAAAGTGTTTCTCAACTTGTAGAATGCATCTAATTAAATTTCAATAAACATATATCAGTGCTTTTAGTAACTTTGTAATTCATAGAATGTGTATGTGCAATGTAGTTTGCAATTTTCAAATTAGAAATTACTTGCATAACTACACATATAATCGATATAATCGTAAATTAAGAAATCGCACAATTTATATTTAATTTAATGTTTATTAAGGCGCGAATTAATTAAAACTTAAATCTACATAAAATATTATTAATGCTAAAATTTGAAAAATCGATCTTTTATTTCAAGTGAATTTGTCATTCAAAAGCCACGAAAGCATTATTAATACGATTGATATATGTTGGTTGCTAAAGTATCAAATTTATTAGATAACAGTCTATATAAATATTAAATTTGATGGTTACAAATTTTTAAATTTACAAATGTTTAAATTTTATTATTTTTCAACGGTTTTTCCCCAATTATCTTTTTCATTATTGCGAAAATTAATAAATAATTTTCACATGCTTGCAACGATATTGTACAAAACGTTAATGTTAAAATATAAAATAAGTATTCGATGTAGTAAATATTTTATGGAAATTTAATACCGAAGTATCTTCAAATATTCAAATATGTTTGGCGTGGATATTAAATTTTTGTGCATCCGATAATTAATTATTGTCTATAAATGTATGAATTAATTTATGCGCATGCGAATCTACGTAGACATGCATGTTTGTATGCCAATATGCACGCATATATGCATATGTACATGTGTACGCACACGCGCGCGCACACACACACACACACACACACACACACCCACACACCATATATATATATATATATATATATATATATATATAACGCATACGAGGCATTATATATCAGTATTTGCATGTTTTACGTATGAATGTATTTGCGAGTGGATATATTATTGTTTGTTACGAAGAATTTGCATCAGTGTGGAAAGTTTCCTTAACTACTCACATGAGATGATTGGACTCATTAGGCACTGGAAGAAGCCCCGAGGTAATGAGGTATTTATCGTGCAATAGTCCGAAATAATTTTTGTATCTCCTCGTGCTTAAACGGCAAGTACAATGTATTACGTCTTTCTATGAATTACTTGTAGATGCAAAGGTATAATATAAATAATTTATGTCATAAATGGTGGAACTAAATTTTTTAATTAAAATAAAATACATTGATTAGCAATTTTACGTAAAGTTTATCTAAATAAAAATTAGCGGTGCTAAGTACTAAATTAAAACGAAGTCTTAAATTTAAGGTAACGCGTACATTGTAAATATTTTGTATTAATATGTCAAAATTTTAATATTTTTTTGAATTTTATAATCAATTCTTTATTTATGAAATTTTAAAAATTATATAAATTCATAAAAATTATTTTTTAACGATAAATGAAGTGAAATATAATGATTAATGGCTTTGGGAATGAATTGTGTGTAAAATAAAATCTAAAATTCTATTATATAGTGAAACACATGTAAATCAATGCAATTAATTGAGAGTAAAATAGATTTATTTGCGATGTTAAGGAATAAAAAGGAGAGATTATGGAAAAATTTAATACACAAAGAAATTCGATCTTTCTCATGTAGAATCGAATTGCCTAAAATCTCAATAAAATGATATTTACTTTCCATGATGCATGATTCTTTCAAGGTAAATTAAATTTGTCAATTACATGAATTAATTGATATAATTATTTTCATAATTTATGATGCAATAAGTAAAATTAATTAGTGCAGCGTAAAATATTCTCAAGGTGGTGCCTTCTTCTGGAATAATCCACTCACTCATACGGGCATAATATTAATATAAAGTCGAATTAAAATTAGAGAAGACGAGAAAACAATCTGTAGAGCCGTAATTACGGTTAAAAAGATAATACATTTATGATTCGTTCGTTTCAATGCTTGAAATAATAAGCTCCTTGAGTTAATAAATCCTTAGGGCGCGCAGGACATTTATTTTTGCGAGTACACTGGCTTCTTCATCCAACCTATCACACTCAATTACTAAGCAACGAATCTCTTTAACAAGCAGTTAATTTACTGTCTCACCATTGGAACGTTTGCTAAACCGGAGAATTTTTTTACAATGGGAGTGACTGCCGGTCTGGCTTACGAGTTACCATACAAAAGGTCAGTGCCGTACAGAAAACCAGCCGAGGTCTACCACCGCAGGAGCAGAAGGGACCTTTACCATAAGCTCGAGATAATGCTCAAAACGTAAGTATATTGAACGATATACTTAACGTATCCTCTTTCATTATTTACGAGACAACGTCTTATGCTATAAATTTGTCCATTATCTATTATAGTATCATTATTAATTATTGACGTTGTGTGAGAATGTAATTTTACGGTAACGCGATTATACGTGTTGAAATTGAAGAAAAAAAATCACCCGTATCGTTTTCTTTTGATATTGATTTATCAACGATTATCTTAAAATTGTATTGATAATTAGCTTAAAATGCCATTTAATTCGAATGATTGGGAAGTGTGCCCGTTAAATATTTACATACTTGTAAGCCATTTGAGACAGTCAGGATCGGTGTAAAGTTCACATAAGTCAATACAATTCAAATAGTATCCCTTTGACAAAAGAAAGTTTCTTCGGTTAACGATTTGCAATCTTACGCTTAGTAATTGGAAATCATTCCTCTATCGATAATAAAAGCACAACTTATATGGCTAGATAGGGGCGAGCGATGATAGAATCCAGACCATTTAATTTAATACAATAATTAATCATCATAAATCTTATGGCACTCTCTTCAACGATTAAACTATGTATAAATATTACAAATTGAGCCGATAAAGATTACGAATCGCTAATAAATTGTAAGATAGGGCTGCTCAAAATTAACCGCCCAAAGATATAGAGTTGGGAAAGCTTACGGATTTCATTATTTATTTCAATAATTGCGGAAGGGCCGTTCCCAACGTCAGGCATAAATATAGACTCGAGGCTGCTGGGAGGGGGTCGAGAGAAAAATCGATGAAATTATGCGACGATAAAAATGCCGAAGGAAAAGTCACGTATAATTTAGTGTTTCGGGCGGGTCGACGTATCTCCGTTGTGCGACTCGAGGTTCGGCCTCCCGAGGCCCCTTCGCAGCTCGAGGTCACGTTCCCCTCAAGCGGGACAATCCTATCGAGTTGAATAACAGAATTACATAGAATAGGCGTTAATTTGGCCGGCGCAACAGTGGTCGAGTCTAGCCGAGATAAGCCAACAGCACAGAATGCTCGGGTCGATTAATGAAAGTCGTTTAATGTTTCCAAGCCAGGGTAAAGACGGCCGAGCCTGCGTCCTCGGGGCACTCTGTCAAGCCGGTAAACGTAACTGGGCATCAACGGCCGACAGGAGACCTTTCCTCGACGAGATTCTCCACTCGATCTTTACGTGAGTACTCGCGTAACCGTTGTACACGCGTTTATGGGGCTTCGAGGGAAATATAATAAAAATAAATCCCGACTCAGGGCGATTCATGCAAGCCTCGGGCATCTCTGTCTTTTAGCTTTCCCGCTTACACGGGTGGCGACGCCGAAGACGGCGACGGTGAAGAGTCCCACGAGGAGAAGCTCAAGAGTACGGAATATGACAGAGCTTACGGCGCGCAGGACGATTGCGACAAGTACTTTGCCTCCTGTCCAAGTCTTTTTTGAATCAAGTGTATTTGTATGGATAAGCCTTCGATGCTCCTTTTTTGTATTATTCAACAAATACAATGGAACAGTTGTCAACGATAATAGTCGACGATATTATCATCATGTTCTTACCATAATTAACATTATAGAATTTCATAACTCGATGAATCATGTGCATTGAATGTGGATTCGTCAACCGATCTAAGCTGTTCTCTACAAAATTATGAAATTTTCAATTAATTAAATAAATATTAAAAAGTGAAATCTCTTATTTTCTATTACATAATTATAAGAATTAACCTACTTGACACGCAGATAGTATATAAACGTAGAAATTTCAAAAATAAGTAATACATTGATTGATCGCTTAGCTTGTACGTTGATACAAATATCAACTTCTCTCTCTCTCTCTCTCTCTCTCTCTAAATATTATAAATCAATTGCATAAAATGTGTAAATTCATGATTTGAATAATTGATCTTTCATATTTGTGTTATAATTCAATGGAATACAGATTCAAAATTTGTAGAATTTTTAAAAGTTATTTATATATCTGTTATTTTGAAAATTATCGAATTATATATTATATCATATAGGGGCCGAATGAAATTACTCGATTAAAGAATAAATAAAAAAATATATGTGTTATTAAATTATTAAAAGTTTATTATAAATGTTATATTAGATTGTATAAATTATATGATTTTTTTTATTACTTTTTATTATGTCGTATTATTTTTTATAAATTTATTTATGCAAACTGATAATATTAAATAATTCAATTTTTTATTGGCAATATTTTTAATATAAAATTATTTCAGATGATAGCTTATTTGAAAATTTCAAATTTTTTTACTTTATCGATTCCTCTTCACAAGGGGAGAGAAGTAAACTTTAACAGGGAAAACAAACTCGAAAGCCCACTGACATAGACAAACATCATCTACATTTTTTCTTTTCCTTTTTTAATTTTTTTTTTTTTTTTTTTTTTTTTTTTATTTCCATTATGTTATATTTTAACATACATATTAAATGAAATTGAGTGAAATAAAAATTTAATATGATGAGATTGTAGGATAATATTAAGTACGATTAATTAAGATTATTGTTAAATGCTTATCCACGTTAAATCAATGAAAATTTTTTAATTTTACAAACAACAATTGAAGATTTAAATTGATAGCTTTTCAGTGAGATTATAAATTTTTTAATTAACACTAATAGCCTTTATATTATAATTCTAATATAATAATTCAATGACCCGATGCTTATTTCTTAGTTTTAGTTTATTATTAATGTAATTGAGATTGCGTGAATAGGGAACGGAAAAATTAAATATCTATGTTTATTTAAGTAAAAAAAAATTTTTTTTTTTTTTAAATATAATGTAGAATAAAAATTTAATTAATATTTCAATAATAATATATTAGCTAAATTTTTTTATTTATGTTTACTTAAATTCAATAATACATCATTTATTATGATCAATCTACATTAGTTCATGTACATAGAATTCTATTATAAAACGACTAATGCTATGATCATTAATACAGAATACTTTAAACTTAATTTTTATTTATAAATTTCATAATTTAAATAGAAATAGATAATTAAATTTAACATAGACAGAATTTAACAACATATTACTTGCTATTTTTATTATTTCTCTGCCCATATTTAAGTCATTTGAAATTTATTACCGTAATTGTACTTTAAAACTTTGCAATTAATAATCACATTTAAGATGTATCTTATAGAGAAAATATGATATACGACTGTATATAATCAATAAAGTTATTTATGGAGGTACTTCATTACTTAATGTAATGCCTATTTTGCCTTACATCATACTATATGACCGACAAGCTTGGTAAGTCCATATCTTTGTCTATACATAGGAATTGAATTGTAAATATATAGTATTGACGATAACATGATAGAAATGCTTGATAATAAAGTAATATATTTGAAGAATTTTTAAAGTAATAGTATTATTATTATTATTATTATTATTATTATTTCATTATAAATAAGCCGGATCAAAACTAATTATTTCTTATGTATCGAGTAGTAGATAAGATTGTATTCTTGTAAAGGCGTAGAGTAGTATTGGTACGTTCATTATGACAACTATTTCTATATAAATTTGGGCTTCTCATGATATTTTTATATTTTATATAATTTCAATATTCTAATGAATTTATATTGAATTAAGTTTCGATATTTCTACATTATATTTTTGTACCAATTCATGATAACATTGATTATCACATACTCTTGCATGATTTTATTTATTTATTTTTTCAATTACGATTTCTCTAAAAACATATTATTTCCTTATATAAGATTTTTAAAAAAAATAGGTCTTTAAAATTTCATCACCATCTTTATCTATTTATTAATCACTATAATTCTAAATATTACCAACGATCATTCAGTAATACATACTTTTACTTTTAACGTTTCTCCGCTATTAAATCGTTATTGTAATTTATGGAAAAGAAGTAATGTAAAAACATAGGATAAGATTTCATTCGGCGAGATTTACGGTTTTTACAGATTTTGAATAATATACGATTTTTATTTTTAAAAGTCTTATCTTATTTTACAACGGACTCTACACTATAATTCAACGTATAGTTTAAAATAAAAAAAAAAAAAAAAAACATTATTATAAGAAATATTAAATGTACTTATTTTTTTAGGATATTATAAGTAGTACATTTAGCAATATTTACTGATTTACCGTTTTTTATGATATATAAAATTATCGATTATTTCTATTTATTTTTGGTCGTAAATTTATTGAACCATTAGATACTTAAATTTCGCGTGTAAAATATGAATGCGAATTTATGAAATCATAAATGTAATTTAATAAAGTGATTGAAATTTTTCATCCTAATAAGCTAATTATATTTTATATCCTAAATTGTATAGATTACTCAGAAAAAATATAAATTAACGTCTGCTTGTGTAATTTATTTCATATATATTTTTTTATAGTATAAGATTAAAATTGACATACTACAAATACATTCAATTTAATCAAATATGATTTTTAATTTAAAATAAATCAATCTGATTAATTTTTAATAGGACAAAAAATCAAAATACTAATTATAATTTTAAATTTAAGGCATACGAACAATATGAATTTTCATTTTACGTATATTTAATAATAGTTAAAAAAAAAAGTATTTATGTAAACGTTAGCTCATATTTTAATTTAAGCAATAATTATATTTGTAATATATATTATTGCAATATCCAAATTAAATATTATTCTTCAGTTGTACAATGTCAGATTAACATTGCTCATATATTATTCTTGTATTTGTTATATATTCATTGTATATTTTTATTATATATTTGTATATTTTATTATTTATTTGTAATGTATTCACTAATAACCTTAATCATATGCCACATTGTGAATTTTTCATTTATTATAAGGGCAATTTATATGTATTATCACGATGATGCATCAGTCTTTTGCATTCTTGTATTTTCCTTTTAATTTTTCTATACTTGATATAAAGAATATACTATGTATTCTAGAAAAAGTAGAATTCTATACGAACACAATGATTAATGTAACTTATAAGTCGTTCAAAGAATTGAAATTGACACTATACTCATAAAAGTAACAAGAAGATGTCATAGAAAGTAATGTCATAGAAAATAATTCAGATTCAAATGAATGTTTCTCCTATTACATTATATTCGATAATACATACATACATACATACATATATATATATATATATATATATATATATATATATATATATATATATTAGTAATTTTATAAAATTGAAACAATTGAAAATTATAATATTTATCGGTTTAGTAATATGGCATACAAATTTTGATGAAGCATTCATGAAAATTATCGTAACACGAATAATATTCCAAATACTTCAAAATATCTTTATAAAATAATGTTCAATGTAATATTTAAATCTTTAAAATTACATTTTTCTAAAGCAGTTAAAAAATTTTTTATAATAAAAGTTTTTTAATAAAGTAATTTTAAACGAATTTTATTATGCATCTAGACGAAGAACAAAAACTTTGAGCTGGTGAAACAAATGTTCAGAATTTACACAATTTTATTTATTTCTCACAACAATAGATAGTTGACTTTACTGCTAATTTTAACACAATGTGAGATCACATACTTTATTAAAGTAATATTATTTTATATTATAGTTATATATACTTTTTTATTTCAATAATGAAATAATATTTTTCAAGTAGGCAATATTATTTAGTATTTATTAGATGGAGTACAGATTTTTTTTTAATACTTTTCTTTTAAAGTAGATAGAATTTTAGTGGAGAAGTCCGTAAAAGGATCTTTAAAATCTAAATTCATTCGACCGTATTTTCATTAAGAGTGCTGTAAAAAATGAAGATTGAATTTCATTAAAAAAAGAATTTTCAATTGCCTCATAAGGTTTTATTATATAATGTATCAGCAGTATATTATTTAAAGATCTGTATGCAGATATAAAATTAATGTAAACTTATGTAAAAATATATTAGTAATAATAAAGATCAAAGACTGGTAAGAAAAAACTTTTTGAGAGGATAAGTATGAAGTTCAATTTGAGAAGTTAGATGATTATGGAAAAATTGATGAAGTAGAGGACTATAATCTACTATTCAAGGTTATATAAGAAGATGTTAAAGCTATATTAGATTAGAAAGCATAAAGTAATTTTGAATTACAGAAATGAAACATGAAATGGGAAAATTTGTAATTAATAAAACTATATATTAGTTCAAATTTCAGTTTAAGTGGACTTGGTTCAAAATTCTTAAGCAATACTTTATCTCGAAAAAAAGTTTAGCTGACAAATTATTAATGTTACATAATATCAAAGTGGATAACATAACTGACATTCTGTTTATGGATAAATCTCGTTTTATTTAAGGCAAAGGTAAAAAATTGTCAAAAATCACAGAAGTAAATATAAATGATAAATTTGATCATTTTATAACCTGGCGGATCTGTCGTGTATTTACATTTAAATAAAATTGTATGTGCAACCATTCAAATATG